TTACACACATAAACACATACTTAAACACCAATTTTTACATGCACACTTACACGCACGCTCGCGCGCACGTACGTGCGCACGCACATACGCACGCACGCACAGACAAGTACAAAAAATACGCACAGACACATACTTACAAACACAAACACATGCTTACACACATTTACATGCACATTTACACACACCACTCACGGACATACAACATACACACACACACACACGCACACTCACAGATACACAAACCCACCCATCCCTCCCACACACATACACACACACAATTACACACTCACACACACACTAACCCATACACATCCATACACACGGAATTGTCGTCATCAGTCACGAATTGAAAATTAAAGTAACCATCTGTAAGTTTGTATGGTGGAATTTCCGCCCCATATTTGTTCAATCAATGAAATGAAGAAAACATGAGAACTTGGAAATTAGTTTAAATTGGCACCATAACATTTCTATGACACATTCATTTGGATGTAAAATCCAGGTGTTTCTTTATCACAAACAGTGTGAATATTCTTTTCGGATCTCAACAATGAAAACATTTTCTCAGAAGGCTGAAGATTTTGGACGTTAACTTGAAAAAATCCTTGATAAACAGCCTTGACTTAATAAATGTCATTAACAAAACCATTCCAGCCGTCTTTTTGCATCTGTTTTTTTAAAATCAACAACCAGGCGATAAGCGACAAATAATCATATAACAGTTTTAAAAAAGAACAAATTAAAAAAGCCCAAAACAATAAGCTCATATTATCTGCTGGATGAAAAACCTGGAGCTTTGCGATAAATGCTTTCCGGAACATTAATGACGGGTCTGGTCTTGCACTAAATTACTACTCTATATATCAATTCCCCGAAGATATTAACCTAGTATTTAACCATAATCGAACGTGCCCATATTCGCATTCCGCTCCGCCAGTTTTATAGATAACGCTGACAAAGAAAAACAGTTAAGGGCCGGCTGATTATTGCAAACCGCATTATAATGAACCTTACGTAGTTTGACATTTATAGCCCAGATACGGTCGGCGAAACAGCTTTTACGTGTACATAACTGAAACGTCTATTTTTGCAGAGTTGTGTGAATGGAACAGCGCGGAGTGCGAAGGATTTCTGGGGTAAACGAATGCGACTTAACTGCTTTCCTATTAATAAACGCTGGTCGCGTAAGTGCGCTGCGCAAATTTGTTATCCTTATTCTGGTTGAGTTTGCCCAACTGTAATATTATCGGATAGGCTAAAACGAAAAAGAAAAAAATGATGAAAAAAAAATCATAGGCCTACCGGTCGTTGTATACGTTGAATGGTAGTACAGATTTTCGAAGTAGGTAAGGAACAAGTAAACAAAGACACACAAGCACACACACACACACACACACACACACACACACACACACACACACACACAC